GCTGTTACCACTAGGCTACCTCACCGCCGAGCCCACTGCTGTTTGGTCATGCGCGGATCCAGAGCCAGACACAGTGGAACCCCAATCATTTTGTTTCGTGTGTTCAGTGTCGTGAAGATCATGAGGAAGAGTCTTGTAATCTCACCGAACAAATTGACAATTCTGATTCAGATCATCCCTGGAAAGAGACTCCCAGTGAAGATTCTGAAATTCCAATATCCGACAGGTTAGCTGATGAATCAGCCAAAAGCTTTGATGACAAGCCTGATGTTCAAACATGTCACGGCGACATGGACACCCCTGACACAGAGCTTGAATCTAAAAGGTTTAAAGCATCTACCGGGATAGACATATATGATGTCGGCGACATTGTATCAGGGAATGTTAAACTATCATTGATGAGTGATACTGAGAAACTGAAGTACCTGAAGGAACATTTTACTCCAGGTCCGACTATGAAGTCACTACACAGGTAAAGGAAAGACCTGGACAAAACAGATCCACAACCCTTGTGTTTCAGAGATCGTGGTTTGACAGATACAAGTGGCTAGTCTACAGTCCTTCCCCGAGAGGAGGTTTGTGCAAAATGTGCATTTTATTTCCACAGTATCAGAAGGGTGATAAGCACAAAGCAGTTAACACATTTATTAAAATACCAATGACAAATCTCTCCAAAGCACTTTTTAGAGACTCATCACAACAGCTCATATCACAAGCAAGCTGTGGAGACTGTAACTGACTCTTTAGAACTACAAAAAGCCCCGAAAAAATCACTTCCTTACAAAATATCCCGCTAAAAGCAGGAACTGTATGACGACAACTGTCACATTTTAGAATGTATGACAGAGGCAATTGTGTGTTGTGGGAGACATGGGATATCTCTTCGTGGACACCGCGATGACCGTACGTCAAAAGGCCCAAACAAGGGCAATTTCCATGCAATTGTATCTGTCTTTGCAAATCATGACTCAAAACTGAATACCCATTTAGAGTTTGGCATGAATAATACAAAGTATACAAGTAAAACCGTCCAAAACGAACTCATCGGCACTATGGCTGAATACATCCGAAAAGACATTGTAGCACAAATTGAGACTGATCATGCTGTGTTCTCCATCATAGTCACCGAGGAGTATGCCAATGTAGAACTGTTTGTGTTTGAGATATGTTGACCTAAGAGACATGCAGATCAAAGGGCTGACTATGTTCAGCTTGAACGTACCACCGGTGAACACATTTCTAATGCTATTCTGAAATCCCTGACAGACAACGGAATGGATATATGACGCTGTCGTGGTCAAAGTTATGACAGGGCTGCATGTATGTCATCAGAGGCTGTTGGTGTACAGGGTCGAATCAAAGAAAAATGTCCAATGGTATTGTACACACATTGTGCCAGCCATGTCTTGAACCTAAGCATAGCTGCATCATGTAGACTTCCTGCTGTTAGGAACATGATGGACAGTATAAACCAAGTGTTCATATTCTTTGATAAATCACCCAAGCGCCAGAGATTACATGAGGTGTATTATATTTGGATGAGACACGCGAATAAAAAAGAAACCGTTTGTTTGGCTTCTGTAAAACACGTCGGATTGAACGGCATACCTGTTTTGAGGTTTTCTCAGTACTGTACACTTATGTATGCTCGGCCCTTGGGGCTATCACAGACCCATCCAAGTATGAGGATGTTTATAAAGGTGAACACTGGAACTGTGATAGAGAGTCAAGAACAGAAGCCAATGGACTTCTAAAGTTCTCAAAGACCCCACACACATTATTGCTTTTGTTGTTTCAAACAATGCATTGGAAACTGTTAGACCATTGGCATCGAAACTTCAGAGGAGAGGTTTAGATATTTTCTGTGCATACAGAAAGATTGATGAGGGAAAGGCAATGGCCCAAGACATGAGAAAGTCAGTTGATGACTTAGCAACAACTTGGATGAAAGAAGCAAGTGACATTGCTGAAGTTGTTGGTTCTGAGATACAGACTCCTAGGGTTACAAAGAGAATGACACACCGAGACAACACCCCATCAGACACCCCTGACACACCGAGACAACACCCCATCAGACGCCCCTGACACACCGAGACAACACCCCATCAGACACCCCTGACACACCGACACAACACCCCATCAGACACCCCTGACACACCGAGACAACACCCCGTCAGACACCCCTGACACACCGAGACAACACCCCGTCAGACACCCCTGACACACCGAGACAACACCCCATCAGACACCCCTGACACACCGAGACAACACCCCATTAGACACCCCTGACACACCGAGACAACACCCATCAGACACCCTGACACATCGACACAACACCCCATCGGACACCCTGACACACCGACACAACACCCATCAGACACCCTGACAGACCGAGACAACACCCCATCAGCCACCCTGACACACCGAGACAACACCCATCAGACACCCCTGACACACCGAGACAACACCCCATCAGACACCCCTGACACACCGACACAACACCCCATCAGACACCCATGACAGACCGAGACAACACCCCATCAGACACCCCTGACACACCGACACAACACCCCATCAGACACCCCTGACACACCGACACAACACCCCATCAGACACCCTGACAGACCGAGACAACACCCCATCAGACACCCCTGACACATCGACACAACACCCCATCGGACACCCCTGACACACCGACACAACACCCCATCAGACACCCCTGACACACCGAGACAACACCCCATCAGCCACCCTGACACACCGACACAACACCCCATCAGACACCCCCGACACACCGAGACAACACCCATCAGACACCCTGACACACCGACACAACACCCTATCAGACACCCTGACACACTGAGACAACATCCCATCAGACACCCTGACACACCGAGACAACACCCCATCAGACACCCTGACACACCGACACAACACCCCATCAGACACCCTGACACACCGACACAACACCCATCAGACACCCCTGACACACTGAGACAACATCCCATCAGACACCCTGACACACCGACACAACACCCATCAGACACCCTGACACACTGACACAACACCCCATCAGACACCCTGACACACCGAGACAACACCCCATCAGACACCCTGACACACCGACACAACACCCCATCAGACACCCCTGACACACCGAGACAACACCCATCAGACACCCTGACACACCGACAGAACACCCCATCAGGCACCCCTGACAGACCGAGACAACACCCATCAGGCACCCTGACACACTGACACAACACCCCATCAGACACCCTGACACACCGAGACAACACCCCATCAGACACCCCTGACACACTGAGACAACACCCCATCAGACACCCCCTGACACACCGAGACAACACCCCATCAGACACCCTGACACACTGACACAACACCCCATCAGACACCCCTGACACACCGAGACAACACCCCATCAGACACCCCTGACACACCGAGACAACACCCCATCAGACACCCCTGACACACCGACACAACACCCCATCAGACACCCCTGACACACCGACACAACACCCCATCAGACACCCCTGACACACCGAGACAACACCCCATCAGACACCCCTGACACACCGACACAACACCCAATCAGACACCCCTGACAGACCGAGACAACACCCCATCAGACACCCCTGACACACCGAGACAACACCCCATCAGACACCCCTGACACACCGAGACAACACCCCATCAGACACCCCTGAAGTGTACTATAACAGGACCATCATCAGTCCCTTTATTGATCATTTGAACACTGAACTGCACCTGCGGTTTAAACCTGAAAACAGATGCGGGGTTGATCTCCTGTCTCTTCTTCCTGACGTCATAGTCGACGTGGTAGATCTGGAGAGCTTGAAATTCAAAATGATGTTCTGGGAGGATGATCTGCCTATGCCAGTTGCTCTATCATCAGAGTTAAGAGAGTGGAAAGCGTACTTGGAAAGCACACGGTGCGCCCTGAGACTATCATGGGATGCTTTGTTTCAGCTGATATTGATGTCTACCCGAACACCAGACAGCTATTGAGAGTTGCTGCAACACTGCCAGTCACGAGTGTTGAGGCAGAGAGAACATTTTCCTCTTTAAGGCAGGTCAAGTCACACCTGCGATCTACTATAGGTCAAGAAAGACTAACTGGACTCACACTGATGAAAATGCAAACATGTGATGTTGATCTTAAAAGTGTTGTTCAGATGTACATTCAGAAACACAGACGGCGTCTGTTCCAAGGGTGCATCCTATATCAGTAGATTCAAAGACTGTCCATGGGTTATGTAGACAAGTCACATTCACTGAATACTGTTCATTCATGCTTTGTTTGAAAACCCTAGGATCGTATATGGTCTAAGCTCAACAAGTAACCTTAAAGTTTGGATTTGAACACATAATTCTAAGGTCATTTCTAACTTTAAATCCAGTTATAACCAAACGTGTTTTGTATACAACTTTGAAAATAAAACTGAAGTATTTAAAATTAATCAGTTCCTTTCTGAGTAGATAAATGTTCTCCATGTAACGATATCACGCATGGTCCACATGTTACCCGCTGACTGCTTGAACGCTTCTGTACAAACGTTCCCCAATCCAAAGTTACCATTTCAGTACATATTAAACGAGATTTAAAACACATAAGTTTAGTGCACCATCCTCAGAACCGATGGTGTTGTATATATTTCCGCTGCCTCCGATAATGTGTAATGGCATAGGTATAGTCTATAATATATGTCCTGGGTTCCGAGGATTGGGGTGCACACCACCACCCCACCCCCCAACGAAAATCCTGTATCCGTCCCTGTTGGTGATATAATATTATGCCAGTATTGTTGTGTGTAGGCAGACAATCATATTATATACAAATTATCTTTTTGAGAAACACGTGTGTCATAACGATCCGCGGTCATTTTATGCAACAAAAAACATTTATTATTTTCCCACTCAGTCTGTAATCGTAATTCGTTTTAGTGCACACTTTTACATTAGTCAAGATGGCGACCCTAGTGAAATGCATCTTTGGACCGAGGCTGTACCGTATTCACCAGGCGAGCGTAGCAGAGGTAATACTGTGTGATTTGAGAAGCAGGTTTATGTTTTCGTATTGGTGTTTTGTTTCTTTTAAAAAAGTAGCCTGTTTCTTTTGCCGTAAGTTCGAAAACAAGACGTTTCCTTGTCGCGATTCCTTTGCCTCAGTTTTCGCGCATTGCTAGTTTTGCTTTAGGTTATTTATAACTGGTTTATTTTGACAACGCGTTTTTTGACTGCTTCAGTTGTTTTTCCACGACCGCAAGATCTTGTATCGTTATATTTATGTCAACTTCGTATTACTGTTAAATGACGCAATCTCGTACGAATGTATAAATGATAAGAGAGACATGCAGAGTCTTAGGTTTTTTTAATTCATTTAGCACTGGAAACTTACGTAATATTGTGATATGATTTTTATGACACGGTTAAAGCAGTTACTGATTTGATTTAAGACAAATATTTATTCGTTTGCTTTCATGATACCTTTGATGGACATGGACATGATTGAACAGGTCAAAAGGGCCAAAGGACAAAAGGGCCAAAATTCAAATTTCTAATCCTATTTTAGAAAATAGTAAGATTAAAGAAATTCATTACATGTTGTTGCAGTAGTTCTAATCCTATTTTAGAAAATAGTAAGATTAAAAGAAATTAATTACATGTTGTTGCAGTAGTTCTAATCCTAAACATCCTAAATACATCAGAGTGCCCCAGTGTTGTTTATTAAAAAAATCTCAGAGTGGTTAGGTGTTTACTTTATACCATTCAACTGTTTGTGTAAATTGTGTAATGATTACAGGTAGTCAGTAATCTAAACCAGATTAACATTAGCGGTTAAGTGTTTATGTTGTGAGTATAGTCAACCATACATCTGTTTCTGTAATGATTACAACAGGTTTAAACAGAGTCATGGGTGTCAGACACTATTCAGTAATCTAAACAAGATTAATGTTTTAATTTGTCGTGAGGTTTAAACAGAGTCATGGGTGTCTCATGATTGACAATGCTATATAAGACCAACATTTCAACTACCAATTCATACTGACAACCATGCCTGTAAAGTGTGTTGCCTGTGACAACACTGTCAGGAAAAAACAACATGCCCTTGAGTGTGACCGTTGCCAGCGATGGACCCATCTCAGCTGTAACACAGACATGACCCGAGAGGAATACCTCCGTCTTTGTGCAAGTGGGGAGGACTTTCACTTTCTCTGCCATGTCTGCTCTGATCCTAAGTCTCAGTCAAGTAATTTTAGACACTGATGCCTAAATATCGGTATATCCCTCGCTCTCACTCGGGAAATACCAACATTCACTGATTCAGGCACTCGTGTCGTAAACATAGTATGACATGGGCACTCATATAATATCCTCTATATAGTTTTTTAATACAATAAGTTTGCATCATTAAACAGAAATAGATTTTATTTAGTATATTTTTCAAAGTTGTAAGAATGTATTACACAAGACATGTCAGTCATTTTCTTGCTGCTTTGGTCAATGAATTCTATTTATTAGGATTATGTTGGGGGGTTTCAGGATTATTAACAGATTCTCACAAAACTGGGTGCTTCTCTTAGAGTCATGTGAGTCACAAAGACTGTCCACACAAGAAGTTGTGATGCTGTATTCTAAAGGTGCTCCCTCTGTTTTGTAGCCTGCACCATTCATATGTACCAGCATACACCAGATGACATTTTGTTGTCCGCGACCCAACAAACTGGGCATCAGATCAGCTAGAAAAGACCATAGTGATAATGAGGTTGACTCATCCCTTGAATTCTCACATTTATTGGATGCTGACTAAAACTTTTTAATATTTCAAATTGTCTGTGTGCGTAATTGTGTTTGTGTATGTGCAATCATGCGACTTGTGGAGATCTGGGTAAGAATTGGTCTTTAGCAACTCATCCTTGTCGTAAGACGCAACTAACAGGATTGGTTGGTCATCGTATCTCAAGTGGATAGATAGACAGAGATGATGTTGATCACTGGATTGTCTGGACCAGACTCCATTATTTACAGATTGCCGCCATATAGCTGGAATATTGCTGAGTGCAGCATTAAACATCAAACAAAACAAACAATGATATTTTAGCTGACTATGTTAAACTGTCCAATGTTGTCATTAGATACAGAGCATAAAATGCATGGGATTCACAAAACAGTAATGGTGCAAAGTTGAGAAATACATAAGTTGAAGGAGGATTCATCATGTAATGGTGCACAGTGGATTTATGAAAAGTAAGCCTTGTATATTACGGTTTACTAAGGCAGAGGAACATCTTGATGTTAGGTGCCAATATGGAATTAACATATTTTGTTCAAAGGACATGAAGGATAAGCCAATATTACATTGATTGATTGTCCATTGTTGTGACGTCCAGTGGATATTTTTAAAGACTTGTTGTGCTGTCTCAACTGACCACAGTGAGACACGACACAAATATACAACACCTGAAACAAACTGACATCAGTTGAGAGACAAACACTGGCTAAGATGTCCTAGTACGCTGTATATGTTATATAAAATAGATTGTTACAAAGACATGGGACACTGAACATGATTCTTTGACTTGAGTCAGATGTATGGGAGGATATTGTTCCTCTATGTAGATGAAGCCCATTTCTGGTGTCCCGTGCCATGATATTGTTGTAATATTGCTCAAAGCGGCGTAAAACCAAACACACTCACTTGATGTAGATGTTGACAGATAGATTCCTGGAACAAGGCAACCGCCTGATACTGTATATAGTTTGTATAACAGGGCTCGATTTAAGAGATATTAACCAACATGCACAAAGTGCAACCTAAGGTGAAAACCTAGTAGCACCAGATAAATTCCAGGTGCACTGCTTTTATTGCAATATGTAGTGAAAGAAATATGCTAGTGAATTATTTAGATGTTTTGTTCAGAAGTTTGCCAACTCAAATATTATTCTGCGCCCGGTGCAAGTTAGAATAATAACTAGGTTGCACTTTGTAATATTGGGTTGCACCAGTGCAAGTAACAAAGCACTCAATCGAGTCCTGTATAAATTTGTCACATTCCTCAGTTGCATGTGGACTAAGCAAGTGGACATACTGCTAAATTATTGCATGAATGTTTTTACCTTTCAGCCTGGGCGGCTTTATCGGCCTGGCTTCATCGAGGCTGGCGGGGACAAGTTTATTAAAGTGGTGGGTACCATTATGCCTGGATCATGAGTACATCATCTATGTAATACTATTCTTGTATATTTGTTGGCGGTGTGTGGTCCTGTGCGTAGAGCTCAGGTCACGAATCAGTTGAAGTTAAGCAACGTCAAGCTCGGACAGTCCTTGGATGGGTGGCCGTGTTTGGCAGCTTGACTCCTGAAAGTTTCTAGGACTTCAGTCCTGCCCCACAACGAAGCGCATGTGATGCATGTGGTCTCACCTTAGGCAAGTGAGTTTGTTCAAAATTGCCTCTGTCCACCCAGCAGTAAAATTGGGTACCTGGTATGATACGATGGTAGTCTGAATTTGAACCTTGAGCGCCTGACAGGCGACCGGTTGTATTCTCCACATGGAGTGTTCTGTACTCGTTGACCAGGGGTAATATGTCAGCGCTTTGAGCATGCAATGTGCAATATAAATGGACTATTATTATTATTATTATATTTATGGCTACATGTAGATGAAAAAATCATTATGTTGTCATTCAGTATAAATAACGTTTTATGATGGTTTGTTTATAACATACAGGTCACAAATCTGACTGACTTAGGCAGCATTGGCTGCCCTTGCAGAGAGAAATACTTGACTCTTGAGAGTTTCTATGGCTTCTTACCCCACACTGAGTCATGTGGGTTCTTGCAGAGTGAAAGAGTGTTCAACTACTTGACTCTTGAGAGTTTCTAGGGCTTCATGTGGTTGCTACTTTAGTGACTTTGATCAGAACTGAACTCTGAGAAAAGATCCCTCAATTTTCATGCTCAGGTTTAATACTGATTGTCTAAAATCAGTGTGCTTTCAACCAATCATTGAATTATATACATGATTTAATTCTTGATAATCCATTATAATTTTTCTTCAAAATTCATTAAAATTATGTACTTTTGAGTTACTATTTTGCATATTAGACATGACAAAGGAAAAGTGAAAAAGTTTACATAGGCAATTTGCATGATATCATTTTCTAACAATGATTGATTTTTTCCGTCGCCAAGTGGATAGAGCATCTGCCAGAAGAGTGGTTGGTCATGGGTTCACCAGTGTTATCATTAAGATAGTCAGGAAGTGGTTGACACATGTGTATGTCCTCAACATTAGAATGTCATACGTTTCGGATGTCATTACTCTTGCTATAAGTGGCAGGTTGTGATAAGCAGATATTGTTTACAAATACTTTGATGATGGCTTGTGTCTCATATAAAGATTGCTGTAATAGTTAGTGACATGTTTTACAATTGGTTTTGTGCTAATAAACTTTATCTTTGAGATAACAATGAATGTGCTTAGAAATCTGAAAACCTATGATACTAGGATACTAGTATTGTTGGTAATGAATTCAAAACCCGTGAAGATCCGGGTTAGAATTGATCTTCAGTAACCCGTGTTTGACATAAGAGCTGACTAACATGATCGGGTGGTAAGGCTTGCTGACTTTGTCGGGTTAGTTTTTTTTGCATGCTGACTTGGTTGACACATGTCATCATTTTCCAATTGCGTAGATTGATGCTCATGCTGTTGATCACTGGATTGTCTGGTCCAGACTCTATTATTTACAGACCGCTGCCATATAGCTGGAATACTGCTGAGTGTGGATTAACACTAAACTCACTCACTCACTTGAGGAGAACAAGCAAATGATTTAATTAGTAGGCTACCCAACCACCCCTTAAACAATGTTGTACTTACAGTTTAGTTAATCCACTTGTGTAGCAGGACCTCCACTGTTTCAGATCCACTTCTGCTGGTCCCTCTCCTACTGGACGTCCCCCGTGCTGCTGACTGTACTCTACAGAAGAGGTTGGTCACGTTGGCGTCAGATTATGTTGCTTGTGTAGAGTTGCTTCCCTTAGCACCATCCAGGAAGCATTGTATTGACAGAGCTGACTTGGTTGACACATGTTATCGTATCCCAGTTGCATAGATTGATGCTCATGATGTGGATTTCTGGATTGTCTGGTCCAGACTCGATTATTTACAGACCGCCGCCATATTGCTGTAATATTGCTGAATGTGGCGTAAAACTAAACTCAATCAATCAAAGTATCGACAGAAGTCTCCAGGCAATTGCAGCTGTTTGCTGGAAAATTACATACGGAAACTTAACCCCTATTCAAATCCAAGATGCTTGGAAACCCATAAGATAATTTGCAATCATGTGACTAGGTATGATATTTCAGAGGACGAGCATAAATGTCAAATTATATAAACTGGGAAATCTTTGTAAAAAAATGTAGGAACAAATTCAGACTTCAAATCCTTTTTCAAAGACCCTGTTCTTTCTTATGCATGCATGTCTCCGACTTCTGAAATGTTCAAGTACTAGTATATGAGTATGGTCTAAATGTTGGATGATTTTCCAGCCCCAAAATACATCTAAGGACAAATGTGTTACCCAGAGTGGTATTTTCTACGACATTTGTTACTGTTTTTATCTGCGTTTGCTAAGAAAATCAGCATAGGTTAAACACATGCTCATGTCAAAATGCTCTTAAAATGCTTCTCTAGAACACTAAACATGCTAAAATGTGATTTTTCAACACATGAACATATCTGATAACTATTATAACAAGTTTGAAGGGATTTGCTTCTTCCTCATATACAATGCAGATCCTGTCAGCCTTTGAAAACTGGACTGATGCATTTGGACATGTTTCGTGGCCATCTTCTGGTAGCTGTTGTTTGACATGTTCATTTTCTCACTGATTTTTGTCCATGTTCTTCAGGGTACTTCAGCACGGAGGGGTTGACGACCATCGCCAAGTTCCTCATCTCTATCGGGATCATCTACGCTGTGTCCTTCTTCACCAGAGGTACACGTTGTTGTCATTCATTCATCACCCGGCAGTATTGGTGCCACAATATACTCAGGTGCTGCAATCCATTGGCGTAATGTACCCATGAAGATCTGGGTTAGAATTGGTCTTCAGCAACCAATGCTTGTCGTAAGAGGCAGCTGGATTGGGTGCTCTGGCTTGCTGAATCGGTTGACACATGTCATTTTATCCCAGTTGTTGCTCAGCTGTTGATCACTGGATTGTCTGAGGCAGACTTGATTACTTGCAAACTGCTGCCAGATGAATATTGCTGCGTGCAGCTTTAAACAACAACCAAACAAACACTGGTATAATAGATTGATTATAGTAGTCTGAAAGATTCGGGTTATGCTTAACCTCTTTGTGTATTTGTGAGTCTTTGGTAGTTGGAGTAATTTGGAAATATTTTAGAAAGTACGATTGCATTTGATTCATGATTGATATCAGAAATTGGTGTTAGGTTGAGTAGCGTTGAGTATGGTTTTACACTGCTTTTAGCAATATTCCAGCCATATCACGGAGGGGGACTCCAGAAATGGGCTTCACACATTGTACCCATGTGGGGAATTGAACCCGGGTGTTTGGCATGAAGGGCGGACACCTTAACCAGTCGACTACCCCACCGTCCCTGGTGTTAGGGTACAGATGTAAAGCTCATCAGATTTTCTTTTCTTTCACATTGCAGTACATCTGTGAGAATGAAAATAATGAGATCTTTAAACAACACACAAACTTCTTGTCATAAATCAAAGGTTTAATTTGTTATTTGTTAAATATCATCATCACAGTCAGCATCAAGTACGAATGGTTCAATGGTAGCTGTGGAAAGAGCATGTGCTGATCCCAATAAAGTTTTACATTGACTTGTGGATGCAAGATGACTACATGTTGGTGGTAACTGTAGCAACTAAATAGCAGCAAAGCTTGAGTTTGATCTTTATGAAATGATTTTGAAAGATTGTTGGTTTTGAAACTATTTCAGTGATGTGTTTAAAAGTTTCTGCAATTTTGTCATTCTTTGTCCAGGTATTGGCCGTTTTTCTAACCCAGACTATGTGACCTTCATTTCAACGTTGATGACATGTGAGAGATCTCTCACAGAGGCCAACAGGGTGAGTTCTCTGAATTCAGCCTTATGGAGGTAATAAAGAATACTACTTTTTGGATCCTTTTTTCGATCTTCCCAATTATGGCTTTCTATGCTCTTGCAACTGAGGAACAAAAGTGTTTGTAGATTTCCTGCCATTATGTTCCCTGTGAACCTGGTGTGGCAAGTCAATCTCAGGACATAAACATAAATGATTTGACAGGTTGTTAGCCTTTGACAGGAAACTTTTGTATTGAGAATCACCATGCCACTATTACAAGGGTTAACCATGTTTTAATTTCTACATGGAAATACATTTAACAAACCTTAACATCAGTCAACATCCATTGGCGGATCGTCCATGGTGGACGAGCTGGCTAAGACGCCAGGCTACTGATCCAGCGAGGTTGGGGTGCCGTGATCGATTTAATAATAAAATAATAATAATAATAATAAGAAGAAGGATCATGTCTGATAACAGAACCCACCACCCTCGTTCCTCTCTTAACCGTTTATACATCCCAAACAATTTCTGGAGGTCGGGGTTTGATTAATGTGGAGGCTCTTCATGATAGAATTTTATTGTGTACTTTTGCACATATTTATTTATCGGATGATCCTCAGGTGATGCATGTCAAGACTCATGATGAAAGCAAGGAATTCCACAGCTATTTTAAGCTTGCTAAGGTTGTTGGACAGAATCTGAATTTGAGGTTGATTTTCCTGATGGCGTTGTACTGCTGGACGGTACAGCGATGGGAGTAAACCAGGTGAAGTTATTCACCAGGTCTGCCCAGAGTCGGTCTTTTGTGGAGAAGCTTTCTGAGAAGCCTTTGCATCGTATGTACATGCAGTGTATGGAACAGAATAGCAATCTCACCGACTCCTTCGCCTGGATGAAGTCGGCTGGTCTTAAATGTGAAACTGCGGGCTCCTTTTTTCTGCAGTCACTTCCCACTCGTAATCGCCAAAATGTGATTCTTAAAGAAAATATCAATATTCAATGTCGACTATGTAATGAATTTACAGAGACTGGCCAACGTCTTGTCAGTCGATGCCCTTCTTTGGCATAAACAGCATATCTTAAACGACATGACGGCATGGCTCGTTGCTTTTACTACCGTCTCCGCCATGTCTGTGGCTTTGACTCCGAGGTCCATCCATGGTACGACCCTGAACATGTCCAGGGCGTCATGGAAAATGATGCTTTCAAACTTCTGTGGAATAGGCCCATATACAGCCTGAGAAGAATTTCTGCCAACAAACCTGATCTTGTCCTTTTTGATAAAACCAATGAATTTATTTATATCATTGAATTTTCGAAACACCCCAGCCCCTTTTGAAAATTCCTGGATCCGCCTATGACATCATCTAATCACTGCTGCCTGATTTCTCAATGTAGGTTCAATATTCTCTGCAGAAGCTATTGAACAAAGTCTTTATCAATAAAGGCATAAGACAGTAACATTTTTCGTATGTACTTCATGATCACATGATTTACAGTGTTGTTTAAATATGGCTGCTATTTGTGTTTCTCAGCGAGCTTTGTGACGTTATGACTATGAGTTCTGGGCGTGACCGGTGGATTTCCGCTGGGCTGATGTCAATCAAGGGTAAGTATCTCTAATAAATGAATGACAATCTGTCAATATGTCCTTAGTAATTCAGCATCACCCAGTTTGCTTTGAATTCAAAGGCACTGAGTCAAAAATGTTGAGAAAGTGTACAGTTATGGCTCTTGCTTGACCTTATGGACAATGTGCAGAGGTAACAATCATCCCATCCCTACGGTGGGAACATGAGGGCATTCTAAACTGCTACATATTCAGGCGCTTTTGTACATTAGTAAGGCCAAATTACATATAAAGTTTTGAAAATTCACCATCGCAAAATCAGAATTTAAAATGCACATAATAGATGGCTTTTCACAACAAAGCATTTTTGAATTTTAAATAATGCCAATAGACTATATCCAAGTGATTAAGATGTGACACTTAAAAGGAAGTTAAAATCACATAAATCTTTAATATAGTTTATCTGTCAGGCATCAGACTTCACTGACAAGAGACTTGAAGCTGGTATAATGTGGAATATGTCCCAGCCATCTGAGCTTGTAGTTCGAGATGACGTTATAGACTGGGTGGTTACACCAGGTGAAATGATGGCATTCCATCATATGTTATCATAACCCAGTGGCAGGGGTTTTCATTCATTACTCGGATTTGAACTCCATTATTTACTTGCCGATGTCAGAGGCAGAAATGTTGCTGACAGCAATATTAAACAACAAACACAATGTAAGCGAGCTAAAGCAACATCTGTTTTCTTGTTGTTTATTCACAGAGATGTAAAGAAGGCCAAGGTTCAGATTCCACGGTCATCCCGCGGCCAGCCTGCTAGCGCCATCTCCACACTGCCATGCAACGTCATCAGGTAGGTACATCCATAGTCAACAGGTTTTGTGTTCAGTTAGGATGGGCACTGTTGTGTAGAACCCAGTGTATTTGGTGATGAAACATACATCCATGCTGGTTATTTTGTCATTTGATTAATTGACACAATATTGACTTAGAGTCTGTCAATTACGTGCACCTTACGTAGTGGTCATCACTACGACACAAGTGATTATTCCTCAATCATCACATTGACACAAGTAACCAGTAATCAATTATACTGTATCACCCTCGGAAGAGATTTAACAGCAGTTAACCGATTAGAATTTTCTTGACTTTATTCTTCTCATCAACATCAAGTATGCTAACAACGGGTGAAAGACTGCAAAATAACATGAACTTATTACATCGACAGCATGTATGTGTTTGACGTGGACAATATAAAGCCATTTTACAGACGCTTCAGTAAATATACTTTGAATGAGTGAAATGCTTACTGAATAACCTAACAAACATTTATGGCTAGGGGGTTGGTGTTGATTTCTATGGAGAAGCATGTACAATGCGAATGGGACCCCCCCCGCCCTTCTTTTTCAGAAGAAGTCCTACTTGGGGTACATATAAGCCTTAAAATGTCCATTTTAAAATACCTACAACAGTTGTAATAATATTTCAGTGAAATAGTTTACCAAACAAAACCTCGTTTTGTTTAGTGAGACCACTCCTATAGGGCCCCTCACAGGGCCCCCTACAGCCCAGAGCAGGTAACTCTGGCTGCTTACCTAGTACCTCACTTTTCATGCTGTCGTTGACTAGAACGGTCTTGCATGGTACAGAGAAGACATGTCTTCGCCTGATACTACGATAGAGAAAATGAGTGAGAAAGAGTCAAATCCTGTATGTATGGTTCCTTCTTTTTCACATGGGCGTTAGCTGGAATCTTCGTACGACTTTTTTCATTCATGATTTGTTGTAACTTTGCCAGCGTGTTCGCTGTCTCCAGCCATGTGGCAGGCAAGATGGCAGACCGTGGGGTCCTTTTGTTATCCCTTCTGCTGGCTTTGAAAGCCTTGTAGTCTGGATGTAAGGGTTTGATATATCATTATGTAGATTATGCTTGCCTAAATTCCTCTTTTTCAGTGGATTTTTGGTAAGTTTTGCTTGAGTGATTTTGTAGCGTGTTCGTTTCGTATCGCTCACAAATGTTGCTCTTTGTTAGTTATGTACACAATAAGGCTTCGCTATTGTGGTTTTATGCTAGCATTTAGTAGCTTTTCTGTAGCAGTTAAATATCTCCCGTGCGTTGTATTTTTTCTGTATTATTGTGTCAAACAGTCCTTGCTATTCGTCATAACACGTTTCTGTTATTTGCATTGTGTGTGTTATCTGTAGCGCTACCTTAGCGCATTTGGGTGCAGGAGTCTCCCTCTAAGGATAAGGATAAAAAAGGCTAAGAAAAAGAAGGGTTCTTCTATACGGGTGAAGGGTGCGGGAACTTCGGTCCCTTCACCAGCAATTCCTTCAACATCACAGGCACCTTCACCTCCACATGTCCCTGTTTCAAATCCATTAACATTTGAACTAATCTCCGATCTTTTACAGCAGCAAATGGCATCGGTTCACTCGCTCATATCTGACGAGATGTCCGGTCTCCGTCAGGAGATTGGCGTCCGGCCAGGTACTGGGGGGAGTTCCATTTCTGTGGCGGGTAGTGTCCCCAACCTTAGCTCAGGCTCTAGTGTGGGGATTTCTGTCGGGAGTGTGTCTGCACCAAAATCGTCGTCTCGGCTGGCACCCAACCCTCCACAAAGGTGGCTACCGCCAGTCCGAACTTCAGTTCTGGGTCTGTCCCTGTAGCTAACCCCCTCGCATTTGGTCCCACCGCTTGTGCCGGCTTTGCCGGGCCATTCAGTGTTGGCGCTGTTATGTTTGCCATTGAGGAATCCTTGTCAGGCTCTTCCTTGTCTCGCCACCATGACTCAGTGTCGAGTCTTGGGTCGGGCATACCGGGCACCTTGGCTCTGCTCGAGCCTCTATCACTCTCCTTAGACCCCTCGGACGAACCTCGGAGCTTTCTCTAGATACCGAGACTTTGCTCCAGGAGGATCGGTTCGAGGAGGCTATGGAGGAGGATGAGGGTCGGGGAGGGTTGGGTACACCTTCTGTATCGCTCGGTGCATTCCTGACAAGTGCGGGAGCGTGTTGCCTCCGTCCTGCCTCAGGTAGTTGTCAGTACTGGCGCACCCGACCCTAACGAAGTTTCGCCTCCCTGGGGAGGCATTCCCTCCTACTAAGGTGGCGGGCACACGGCTACGCATTTTGCCTTCAGCCTTAACTGAAGTTATTAACCCACTCCTCTGTGGTACCAGGTCCAGGTTCGACTTGCCCGAGCTGGACCGTCGGTACCTCATGGGTGAGGCTGGCCTATATAACCCTAATTCCTCATTTACGCTGGTGGACAATGGCAGGGAATTTATCCAGGGGGATACCCTTGGCAACCCGTTGCCAGATCTCTTGATTTAGACATACGCCTCCCTCACAGGGTGGAGGGACGTGCTGGGCGCAACTGCACATCAATGTGCTAGAATTGAGAGCAGTCAGGTTAGTGTTCGAACGACTTCGGGAGCAGGTTCGAGGCCGTGTGGTTCGTCAAGAGATGGACAACCAGACGGCGATGACCTATATCCTGAAGTGGGGTGGCATTCCCCGTCTCTCCTGCAGGAGACGTGGCAGTTTCTGCTCTGGTGCGACTAGTTCGACATACGGGTGATGCCTGTTTATCTCCCCGGGGCAGACAACGTTCGAGCAGACACGCTCTCTCGACGTATCCCGGCCCCGCAGGAGTGGATGCACAATCGGGAGATTCAGGATTATTGCCTCGGATGATTTCCAGCTCAATTGGACAGGGCAGGGTTCTGTGGGCGTTCATGCCACTACCCCTGATTCCCAAAGTCCTCTCACAGCTTGCCACCCAACCAGCTCGACTTCTTGTGCTCCTTGCACCTCTTTGGTCGGCTCAAAGCTGGTTTCCGGTACTACTCAGGTTTCTGGCTCAGCCTCCTGTACTATTACCCTTTCTACCGGACTTACTATCCCAGAACAAAGCGCCGCACCCAAATCTCAGGATTTAGTTGGTGGCCTGGCCACTGTCAGGAATCGCCTCCAAGCAAGCAGAATTTCTGCACCAGTTGCAGACACAATTCTGGCTTCGCGGAATTCCTGCACTAGTTGCAGACACAATTCTGGCTTCGCGGAGGGATTCGACAATATGAGGATAGATGGGCCAGTTATACGTGCTTGTGTGTCAGCAGAGAGATTCTCGATCCCTTTTTTTCAACTGTAGTTGAAGTACTAGAGTTAGAGGGCGGCTTAGCCGCGTCTACTATCCAGGGCTTCTCCACGGCAATCTCTGTCTATCATGTACCTGCCGACGGTGCTCTCTTGGGGCAGCACCCTCTTGTGCTGTGCTTTTTAGCAGGCGTGGACAGAATCCGTCCGACTGTCCGGCGGATTAGTCACCCGTAGGACTTTTCAATTGTTCTTGATTGGATGTCCGGTCCTCTCTTTCACGATCTGTCGTCTCTTTCACTCCAGCTGTGAAGTTAGAAGGCTGCCTTTCTTGTGGAGATAACGTCTGGCCGGCGGGTAGGCGATATCCATGTGATGTCAGCGGATGCGGATCCTGCTCTGACTTTCGGTATTCGGTTGCCAGACTCTTACCATCCTAAGATCGCAGGCGCCTTTCGCATAACGGCGCCTATTGAACTGCCAGCTTTCACTCAGCCTCCATCCTCCGGTACCTCTCTTCAACATGCTCACGTCTTAGATGTCCGTAAGACTCTCAAGGCTTATATCAAACAAACGGCTGCTATCAGGAAAGATAAGCAACTGTTCTGCTGTTATGGCGGTGGTAAGGCTGGTCATCCGGCGAACAAGTAGACCATATCTAGGTGGCTTGTCTCTGCCATTTGTATGAGTTACTCTCACAAAGGGTTAACTATCCCTGATGGGTTAAAGGCTCATTCAGTTAGGGCAGTGGAGACATCTAAGGCATATGCCGCGGCACTGCCCATTGAGGAGATCTGCTCAGCAGCCATTTGGAGCCGACCGAGTACGTTCATCTGCCATTATCAACTGGACAAACACTCACGGGAACGTGCTCGGTTTGGGCAGACAGTTCTCACCAGTGAGCAGTGTCGTGACTCTCTAGCTGAATGAGCTTTCAAAGTCATGATTGTTTTTCTTCCCTGCACCACGCTTTTCTGGTTTGGGATTATGAATGGTATGTTTAGGACTTGTGTATACATTCCTTCCCATTTTGATGGTTGGGGGGTGGGACTTACGTCAGTCATTAAAATTTCTGCCAATAGTGTATAAGCTAGGCTCTTTTTATCCCCGCCTTGCCACATCCCCGCCTGATGGACATCAGTGGTCAGGTGACTCGATAAGTGTTTTTTCTCTCTCTCTCTCTCTCTCTCTCTCTATCTCTCTCTCTCTCTCTATATATATATATATATATATATATCTCGGCTTCGGGCTGTGCCTTTGATTGAACTAGGGGATATGTTAGCCAGACAGAATACCACTCCCGACTCACCATCGTTGGGAGTCTGTCTGATGCTTATATGTACCCCACAGAGGACTTCTTCTGAAAAAGAATTGTACAAACCTGTAGAGGTTATGAAATCTTTGAAGAAAAGTCCTCCTTGGGGTACGGCCTCCCACCTCCCTTTATTCTGTCTGACACGTTCAGCATGAAAAGTGAGGTACGAGGTAAGCAGCCAGAGTTACCTGCTCTTGGCTGATGGGGGCCATGTGAGGGGCCCTATAGGGGTGGTCTCACTTAACAAAACAAGTTTTTGTTTGGTAAAATATTTTATTGAAATATTGTTACAACTGTCGTAGGTATTTTAAAATGGGAATTTTCAGGCTTATATGTACCCCAGGGAGGACTTTTCTTCAAAGAATTCATAACCTCTACAGGTTTGTACAAATTTATGTACAAAATAAGTGATCCCCCCTTGCATGTCATGTACAAAATCAATGACCCCCATCCCCTTCCCATAATTTCTTAGCATAATTTTTAAAAATTGAGGACCCCCTTTATTATGTGTGTAATGGGTGACCCCCCCTTTAAATCATCATCACCCCCTAGCCATAAATTATGAACGGTCCCTAAGCATCAGTGATAACATTGCTACTATACTTATTCTATTGCCTCACTTTTGTGGCTCCGTCTGCTAAATGTGACTCCAGTTTGTAAACAATAATGGTTTCTAAATATGGCCTTCTACATGTTCAGGTTTTGGGAACTTAATTATGCTGCAGTGAAAGTGCCAGTGTCACTCAACTACGAAGCATTTCCACTGTTTTCTAAGTGGATGCTCTGTTTCTGGTTTCAGTTACATTGCCATTCACACCTTCGGGCGCAGGATGGTCTACCCTGGCACAACCTCCATCATGAAGACGTTGATCAGTAAGTTCTGAAGGGTCATCCTCCGGTATCAGGGCAGTTTATCTGGATTCCATGGGGTTAAATACCCTGGACAGTTTGTCCAGCATCCAGTTGGGACACAGAGGCACATCTTGAACCATGTAACACAGTATTACCACTTTATACTCACAAGCTCGGGCACAGGTGTCCGAGTCATCTCAGGTGATGCAATTTGCTTCACAGAGTTGTATCCCTTGGTAATGCGAGAAATAATAATAATAATAAGGGTACTTATATTGTGCAATACTCCATACCACAAAGGGGCATGCTCAAAGCGTGCACAAATGTTTAAAAACAAACACATCAAAAATTCATATGAATCAGTATTGTAGAACATAGTCGTAAATATGAGCTTGGAGAGAGTTACTGTTTGTATCGACTGAAAAGGGTGTGATCCCTGATCATGTGTTCAAATCCCGGATGGCATTTATCATGTTTCCTGAGTTTGCAACACTGGGTTACACCTAAATGGAAGACTTCCAGGATGTGCTGGCAGTGTGAGTGTTTGTTCATTGCGTCTAACAGGCAGCATGACTGTATGATCCCCAGGGAGTTGAAGAAGTATGGGAAAATACAATAGAGTCCTATTACCGGGGACAGTAACGTACATAGCACCGTGAGCAGGCAATGTACCTGGATATGAGAGCCATATAACCCGGACTTTTACCATTATTACTTAATTATGTACAGGTCGCTGTCATGTAGCTTGAACATTGCTGAATGCAACCTGCACCTTTGAAAATTCCTGGATCCGCCTATGCATGTTGCAGGGATGGATACAGCTTTTTGATAAATTGGGGATGCACAGTTCATTTTCACGCATTTTCACAAGAGGTTCAATGGTCATTTAATAAACTTTCAGGAGAAAAGGTGGGATGCGCACCTTGCACCCCCCTCTGGATCCGCCTATGTGTTGGAACACTGAACATTACTGATATTTGTTGTAGGTGACACTCTAATACAGAACAGAGCCAAGCTGGTAGAAGAGGTAGGGATTCTATAACTGCGTCGCCATCTGTATATGACTTGTTTTACTCAGGTGGCCACAAACTACTGGAGTTGCGTCCCTTAGAAATCATTGATTGTAGTTTGAATCCCAGAATTGTGTCTCTAAAATGGTCCAAGTAATGTGTCTTAGACCTGCATCAGTTCATACCAAGACACTGTGATACAACTGAAATACTTTTCAGATGCAACCCAAGTTGCACACTCTTAAGTGAGTGAGTGAGTCTAGTTTTAAGCCGCTTTTAGCAATATTCCAGCAATATCACGGCGGGGGACACCTGAAATGGGCTTCACAAATTGTACCCTTGTGGGGAATCCAACCCGGGTCTTCGGCGTGACGAGCGAACGCTTTAACCACTAGACTACCCCGCCATCCCCACTTTCTTAAAGAATGAGTGAGTGGGTGAGTTGGGTTTTACACCGCTTTTTGCAATATTCCAACAATATCATGATGGGGGACACGAGAAATGGGCTTCACACATTGTATTCATGTGGTGACTCAAACCCGGGTGTTTGCCATGACGGGTGAACGCTTTAACCACTACCCCACCCCACTGCCCTGCATGATTAAGTGAGCTCTTTTCTTCATCTGTTACTACATGGAGAAAGTCAGTGAGTGAGTTTAGATTTATGCCGCACTCAGCAATATTCCAGCTATATGGCAATGGTGGGGACAGTAAGATAATGTCTGGTTGAATGTGTTATGGTAAGGCAGGAGGTTAATATAATTACTTTAATTATGGCTTCATGATGTGTATTTGACCTGACACCGAAATTACAACTTTGCTCTGGTGGAAATCTAGGGATCCATAGGTTCAAATACTTCAGGGTTAAACACTAAGCATGCCTTGAAAAACTTGTACATCTGTACTTACAGAAAAAGGGTGTGCGAGCGAAGGTGATAACAGAGGATGGCAATGACATTGACACCATGTTCTTGGACCGACGCAGCGTCAAGTCAGGAAACGGCAACACACTGGTAGGTTGAGGGCTGACACTTAACAGCCATTCTGCATGGACAATTCTAAATTTTTCCTTATCCTGACTCATGCTTAATTGCATGTCTCTTTCTTCTTGCGATTGATAGTGGAACACTTGAATCCCCTTTTGAAGCTCCCTTATAAAAAACGGACGTAAAATCACTCACCCAGTGTTATCTCCCTTGTGACTCTTTAGGCGGGAAAACCACATCACGTGTCTGAACATGTCCCTCACTCTCTCCTTCTTCGCCCTTGAGGACGGTTGTGAGAGCGCCTGGGTCCCCTATACGGCGTTATATCCTTTAAACTTTTAGGCCTTGCTACTAAATTAGCTGTTTACAGTTTTAAGATTGATATACCAACAATATGGTTTGAAATTTGATCAAAATTATCTGTATTGTTCACGTTGTTGACATGTGTTTTCATGCAATTAAGCATGAGTCAGGATAAGTATAAAATATCAATTTTAATCAACAATTACATTATTAGTTAGCCCCCGCAAAGCGTTTTGCGGGGGGTATTAAAATGGACTCCGTCCGTGCGTGCGTCCGTCCGTCCGTGCACATTTGTCTTTTCCGGAGCATAACTCTAGAACCGTTCAATGTTTCTTCACCAAACTTGGCACATAGATAGATCTGGTGGTGAACTGGTGCCTTTTGGTAGTTTTGGAATTCTGAATAAAATATTTTTGGCGTTTCCATGGCAACAAGTTTGACCTAGCCTGAAATTGGTGGTAGGACTCTTTTCCGGAGCAGTACTCTAAAACCGTTGAATGTTTCTTCACCAAACTTGGCACATAAATAGATCTGGTGGTGAACTGGTGCCTTTTGGTAGTTTTTAAATTCTGAATAAAATATTTTTGGCGTTTCCATGGCAACAAGTTTGACTTAGCCTGAAATTGGTGGTAGGACTCTTTTCCGGAGCAGTACTCTAAAACCGTTGAATGTTTCTTCACCAAACTTGGCACAAAGATAGATCTGGTGGTGAACTGGTGCCTTTTGGTAGTTTTTAAATTCTGAATAAAATATTTTTGGCGTTTCCATGGCAACAAGTTTGACTTAGCCTGAAATTGGTGGTAGGACTCTTTTCCGGAGCTGAACTCTAAAACCGTTGAATGTTTCTTCTCCAGACTTGGCACATAGATAGATCTGGTGGTGTACTGGTGCCTTTTGGTAGTTTTGAAATTCTGAATAAAATATTTTTGGCATTTCCATGGCAACAAGTTTGACTTAGCCTGAAATTGGTAGTAGTAGAGGGAATGATTGTCCGGGACCAGGTTCAACAAAAACCTCTGCAAAGCCTTATTCCCCAAATAAGGCTTTGGTCGGACCCTTAGCTCTTGCTACCATTACCCCTACTATAAAAAAGTTTGGGACGCTAGCGGGATACGAACTACCACGGCTGAAGTGTGTATAACGTGCCGCTATGACATAGAAAGATAGAAAGGTTCTAAAAAGTAGTAAAATGTCCTGGCAGCCACAATTCCCCAAGGGTGAAATCGAAAGATGATGTTGCGCTTCCTCCCCTTGGGAATTGTGCCGGCTGCCTTTCTCTCACCATGAGAGTGCCCGCCAGCTAAGTGCTTTTCAGCCGACCCAACTGATATGATCTTGATTCCTTACCAAACACCTCACATCACACAAAGTTGCAAGGAATCTCCTGAGGCAACGGCGGGATAACGAACCCACATGTATAGCTCGCGCAAACTATACATAATGGGCGCACCACTCAACCCGATTGAGCTACCGGGGACATAGCTGAATCATCTCGGGTTTAACGGGTCTATCCTGAACTAGCACTTTCCTGATCACGTGACACTATGCGGTAACACTGTGCCGCACGGTAACGATCAATAATTCTTCTCTTACAAACCCTCTGCCCGCCCATCCCTCAAGTAGTACAAGTTAGGCTCGCCTGCTTTAATGTCCACTTTATCTATGTTGTAAGTTTTGACTGACCATATAGGATCGGTGGCTCGCTTACGGCTATCACCCTCGTGTTCCCCCGGCTGGTATAGATACCTCACTAGGGCCCTGTCTGGTATCTGTTTCTCCTTCCCACGCAAAGGAGCGGCCGACTGTGCAACTATTGATTTTAGTTTGATAGCGTCTGCCGGTTTCTTGCCGGTGAGACGGGTGACCTCATGGTTTATTGCCGACACCACCTTAGGTAACCTCGTGACCCATTCAGTCGATCGTTTTTCCGGGTTGGCCATTTCTCTCGCATACTGATGACCGAATAAACGCTCGGCCAAAGTCCTATTAAATCTCTCTACTATGGCTTGGCTGCGATGGGCTCCGGCCGTGCCACGCCTGACCTTTGTATCGTGTTTGGCTAGCAGTTGTGACACGGCACCCATGAACTCCCGTCCGGGGTCAACTTGCAGCTCTGTTGGCCACGCCAGCGGACTGCGTTTGTATATGCGTTCCAATCCTCTGGCTACCTGGGAAGAATCTTTCGTGGTCAAGGGCTCGGCTTCCTTGTAGCGACTGGCCACATCCACGACTGTTAAGGCATACTTGTACCTTTTATCGTGGGGTAGGAACAGTAGGTCTGCCTGGTGAACGCTATTAGGTATGTTAATACCGAACTTCCTTCTAGGCACGTAGCGTGGTGGTGGCAAATAGATCTGCCACAAGGCTTGTTTTTCAAGCCACGCTTTGGCTCGTCCGGCGGTACTTTCAGCGCCATTTTAGCCAGCTTATCTACAGCGCCTAGCTCCTTTCCAGTACCCACGCCGGGCTATAGTAAATAGCCTCAAACTTTTCTGGTTCCGTGACATGTCTTGGTTCAATTTTCTCATGCCCATACGCTGCACGTGTTTATCCCATCAATAGCTATCCAACGCTTAGTGTCCATAGGCGACAGAGACGTCTTGTTTATAGTCAGCCCGCATATATCCTATGGCCATCACTTCTAAGTGTGTTCATTTTATGCCTAAAGGTACGGGTCTTGAACAGGGCTTCCTTTGAATCTGGCGTGTTTGATGTGTTGTTTCACCACGCATTTCTTAACACCCTTAGCCTTCCGGATCTCACTATTGTCGGCTTTCAGTATGGAGTACATCTTAGGCCTCAACCCTATGTACTCGGCTATGGGCGTGCCAGCACACTCGTCCTTCATCTTACCTAGGACCTTTTATTTACCGTACTGTGTATGGCATGGTCCTTTGGGGTAGTCGCTGGTGTCGCATAAATCGAGGTGTTTTTTTCATGTCCTCGCATTACACGCCCCTCGGTTTGAATCTCCATCAGCAGGGAATCCGTGTCAGTGTACAGCACTTCACACCTGTCGTCGTGACTGTTTCTTAAGCTCGTTGTAGTAAAAGTCGTACATCAGGTGTTTGGATAAATCGAGGATGCTCATCCCCACGTAAACAGGCCGGTTGAATTTTATGTGGCTTTTCTTCATGTGTAGGGCAACTAGGTCATCGGTGAATATCTTGCTACAGTTGAATGCCGGACTGGCTATCAGTCTCCTGAGCTTGTCTTCCTCATTCGACCGAACCAGCTTCACGGTCACGCGTTTCCTCAGGTTCTCCATAGTCTTACCGAACACCGAGTTGTTCATGAGCTTGTAGAGATTTTTCTCAAAGTCACTGGTGGCAAGCTTTCGGAGGTTTGTGTTCATTCTGATGTAGGGCTCCATCCATGGGCTCTGGTGAACACGAAAGCACCCTGTGTATTTTGGTCAGCCTCATACCCAACGCATACAGGTACAGCTGTAGGTTGCGATAGTGAACGATGTACTTGGTCTTATTCATTAAGTTAGGCACGAAGTTTTCAACGTCTGTCACCCGCCCACCTAACAAGTTATGTTGGTACTCAGACATCCAGTCTGGGTTAACCCTCATACGCTCGGGGCCAGGGGGTAGCTGTTGTGTGATGTGTGTAATGCCTTGGGGTATTCTAAGTCAACCTCGAGGATATAACCTTTGTTCGAATCCGCGCGATGCTCATAACATCGACCTCATGTGACTTCATTGAATCCCCCTGTGGGTAGATACTGGCTCATGGCCCATCCGTACAGGTTGTTGGCATCGAGGTAGAGAATGTGATTGGTTGGCTTGCTAGGGTCGTAGCCCTTCACGTATTGATTATTTGCTTTACGTATCGCTTGGTTGCCATGGAGATCCCACCGCAAGCCTTTCTCAATGAATAGGTGCATGGCCGTAATCAGTAAGCAATTCCAACTTAACTCCGGTCTTTTTAAGCAAGGCATCCCACGACAGACCTGGGCTGGTGTAATACCATGCTGGGTCGAAGTTTATACTGCTTGAAACATGTCCGCCTAAAGCGCCTCAAACACGCCGGCTAACAGCAGTACATCTGTCCTCAAGTACAGGTCGTATTGATAATCCCCCAGGTTCTTACAACCCAGTTTATTCCATACGTTAATGCGCGTCGACAGTAATCGTCTTGGGATATTTCGAAGTCTGTCAGATTGCTGTAAAATTCTCTGATGGGGGTAGTCTGGTCTCGCGAACTTGGCCCAACTATCCATGTACTCATAGGGGTACACCCCTTCCTCATAAGCAGGGGTCTAGTCTCGTGTCTGTGTATCGGTCAGTGATAGGGAAGGTATCATTGGCCTTGACCAGACTGTCTAATGAAGACAATAGAAATTGTACTGAATCTATGAACCTAAGGCAGTTTAAGCTGAAGGAGATGTATCTCTCCATGTTGTTGGGGATGCATCGCTATATTACCATCGATTTTCAAGCGATGGCCTGCATGATCAAATGAGAGTCGCACTCTCAAGTTGTGAAAGACAACGGGATGTTTATTATCTTAGGGTTGATTCTAAGCTTGAGGTTACACGCTGTGAGCGGCTCTCTATACTTACCGGTTACGTTGGCAGTGATCTCACAATCACCATTCAGTGGTGAGTCACACACGTGACAGTTATTGCTACAGCGTGAGCTAGCCTGTCGGCTCGGGTCATCGCGCATGGGAGACTCTTTATACAGTGCATTCCTAATAATTTTTCTTCCTCCTGC